AGGCTGGAATTAGACTGAAATTAGCAACGGCTTTTTGCAAACAGAGCAGCCAACACGCCAGGCGGGCAGTGCTTGGGAGCTCACTAAGCCCCAGCAGTGGCCGCATTCCTGCACCCCCAGCCCCCCCGCGGTCCCGCCGGCGGTGGCTGGGGAAGCCCCAGTGCAGCTCCCGCGGCCGGGACTGGCGGCACTGGGTGGTTGCACCCCTGAAGCAACGGCCCCCCCAAAACAGCTGGAAGGCCGCCCCGAGCCCTCCCCGGACCCCCGCAGCCCCGCTTCCCAAGGGGAGAGCAGCAGCACACGCCCAAGTTTTGCACCCAGCGCCCGCAAGCTGCCGGTCCAGCCGCGCTCCTGCCCGGGCCCCCCGCCCAGAGAGGGATTCACGAGCTGCGCGGGGCGAGCGCGCCGCTCCACGTAGCAGAAGGCAGCTGTGAGCGCGAAGCGGGGCGCGGTAACTCGAGCCAAAAAAAAAAAAAAAAAAAAGTTTGGTTTTGGGGTGCGTGGGTCGACAAAAGCCCAGAAGTGGCTCATTGCTCCTCTACGACCCTAACACACACCTGAAATAAGAGAATTCACAGGGGTGAAAAAAATAAAAATAAAATCGGGCTTGCAGGATCATTTCGCAATGGAGTCTTTCACTCATCAGTTAATACCCTGGAGTTTATATACGATACTGTCTTTTATCTGATTATTAAAATAATTGATTTTAAGCTGCCTGCACTGGAAATTTAAGAAGTTTTCATAGGGAAAGGAATGTTGCATTACAGTGTCCTCCCTGAATAACGAGTTTTGGCAAATAAAACAGTTAAAGCAAGGGAACTCTTAATTAAATTCTGCTTATCGCAAGCACGAGCTGGGATGGATTAGTTTCATTCGGTTTATCACACCCTGCAGCTCCGGAAGGCAGGATGGAAATCCCAGCCGGGCATCCCTCGCTGTGCCGGGGGAGCAGAGGGGTCGGGACCCCCCGCGGCCCCCTCGGTCCTCCCCCAGCCCAACTCCCGGCGTTTCGGCCGCGGCCCCCCCGGGCGGCAGCGCGCCGTAGCTGGGGAACGCCTCCGCTCCCACGCTGGCCCCAGAGCAGCAAAGGCAGCAGGAAACCCCCTCCGAAATCCTGCCCCTGCCCGCGGAGCCCTCGCGCCCCCCCCGGGGACTTGGCTCCCTCTTCACGGGAAGGTCTCCGGGAGTTGCCGGGGTGAAAGGGCCGCGATTCGCGTTTGGTGGGGTTTGTCCCCTCAAGACTTCGCTCCTCTAGTAACGGAGACGGTGCGTCCGCAGAATTCCTCCTTTCTACAAGGGAGAGTCACTGCACCTTGCAGGAGGAAGGGGCACGAGCATTACGCTTGACTCGGCCACTTAATTACATGAAAACAAATCCAAAAAAAAAAAAAAAAATATATATATATAGAGACAGTACAGCCAAGAGAGCCTTGAAAAGCATTTCCTCAGGTTCCCCAGACCTCCGCGCCTCTGTTCCACACAGCCCAGAACACATTCCCCAACTCCCCCCACCCCGGCTCAGCCGCTGCCTCAGCCCACGCGACCCACGGCAGCCGAAGCGAAGGCGCGGGGGGGGGATTTGCTCCGTCCCCTCCCCGCGGGCCCCCAGAGGTGACGGGCAAGAGCCCGGGGCGCAGCCGCGACGTTCGGATCCGGCATCCCGCACCGTAGAGCCCACCCCAGGCACCGGCCCAACCGCCACGCTGGCCACGCAGAAAGGGCAGCCGCAAGCGCCAGAACCGGTGTGGAAAAAACAAACGTCCCGAGGCTTGTATTTGCAGAAAACAGAGCAGAGAGATACACGTAAGAAATAAACATGCGGGGGGTTTATTTTAACTGACAGCAGCTCTTTGGGGAAAGCCCGCCACAGATCCAAGGTAGCACCAAAGTCTGCGTTTCACTGCAAATGACAACAGAAGGGTTTATACTCAGAACCTATTTGCAAAAGATTAAAACACTGTTAGGAAGGTTAACGGTCTCGCTCTCTGCCCAGGCTGACAGGAAGGGAATCCTTCGAAGCGCCCACAGCAGAGGGATGAAGCTCTGGCTTTCTGCTTGGAGAAATAACGATTTGATTGAACGAATGGGAAGAAAACAGTCATTCCCAGAGCCGACGGCCTTTTCTACATCGCGGAGTATGGCTTCAAGGGCAACTTTTATCTTGTGCTCAAGCGCCAGGGGCCTGGCTCAGCAGCCCCCAGGCCCGGCAGGACCCCCCCGCGGCGCCAGCAGCGGCTCCTCGCCTCGCTCCGCTCGGGCGGGTCGCAGAACCTCGCGCCCCGGGACAACGCTGACGGGGGCTCGCGCCAGCCCCCGCCGCACCGACACAGCCGGGACGCGTGCTTCCCATCTCCTCTGCTGCTACTCACCCTCCCCTATCGATTTGTGTCCTGGGTTGAGCGAGTGGTGGGGTTTTTTGGTGGCGGGGGGGTGGCTATTGGGGCCGCCCCCTGTGAGAAGCTTCTCGAAGCTCCCCCAGCTCCACATCAGCTCCACTTCTGTTTGGAAACTGAGCCCATCAGCTGCGCCTCTGCGATAACGTATTTAAGAAGGGACGTGGTGACGGGCAGTGGGACTGGTGAGGAGGAGTTGCTGCAGCTGCATGAACACCAAGGTCAGTGGGGGAACGGAGGAAGAAAGGAGGGGGGAGGTGTGCCGGAGCAGAGACCCCCCTGTATCCTGTGGGGCGACGGCAGGGCGGCCCCCCTGCCACCCATGGAGATCTACGGTGGATCAGACATTGATTTATGGCCTGTGGCTTCTGCTCAGATGATCAAGGTTCTGTGCCCGAAGAAGGCCGGGGTCTCATGGGAAAAGGCAGCCCCGCTGCTGTAATTCAGCACTGGGAGGATTGCAGCATGCGGGGGAGTCCCACGCCGGAGCAGCTCGGGAAGGGCTGCAGCCGTGGGAGAGAATCCAGTCGGAGGAAGTTAGTGACCCATGACGGAGCAGTGTGGGGAACGCTGCGGCCCGTGGGAGGGACCCATGTCAGAGAAAGTTTGTGGAGGACTGTCTCCTGTGAGAGGGGGACCACGGTGGAGCAGGGGGAACAAGTTCCGGACACTCCCCTCACCGAAGATAAGGGAAGTGGCAGCGCTGCCTGCACCCCCCATTCCCTGCCCCTGCGCCCCTGGGGGAGGAGGTAGAGATATCGGGAGCAGAGCTGAGCCCGGGAAGAAGGGAGGGGTGGGGGGAAGGTGTTCTCAAGATGTGGCAATGCTTCTCACTGTCCTACTCTGTGTTGTTAGTGTCTGTAATAAATGTATGGTTTTTTTTTTCTTCCCCTAACGAGTCTGCCTTTTGCTCGTGATCATAAAGGGGGATTTCTCCCCATCCCAGTCCTATCTCGAACCCCAAGCCTGGCTCTCTGTCCCTTCTCATTGCTGGAGGGGAAGGGAGAGAGCTGCTGCATTGTGGTTGGCTGCCAATCAGGCCTAAACCACGACAATTCGTTTCTACGAACTTTCTAGCCCGCACTTCCTTAAATAGATTAGACTATTTCTCCTTACCGGGCACTGAAATACGTTTTCATCTCAGAGCAGCAGGCTCCTGCCTTTACCCGCAAGCGGCACCTGGTTCCCAAGCCGCCCCGGCAGCACATGTACAGCCCAGCCCCTGCCCGGGAGGGAGAGCTCCGGGGCAGTGAGGTACCGCGGGACCCACGGCTTCCACTTACTGACCACACTCCTCTTGACAGCCAGATCTCAAGTCCTATGTTCCAACAGTACCAACAGAGTTTTCCGAGACTATTTTCTGCGTATGACAGCGGCTATCAGTACCACACTGAAGAAAAATGAAGTGCTGCTAACTCAAATATAATTAAAACGTAACGATAAAACCCTCCAAGGGATGCTCAGCAGCTGACAAACTGATCTACATGAATTTCAGACACACTGACCATTAGGCACGCATTTTTAATCTTCCCTGGCTAACCGCACAAAATGTAAATCTGTCTTGTATTAATTGCTATAGTTAAAAGGCACACCAAAAAAGGCAGAAGTCAGTAATTACTCTCTTTCAAAAGATGTGATTTAAGTAAAAGACAAACAAACAAAATCCGCGTCCTGGTTTTCCTCTGCATTTACTTACCTCAGTGGATTTACTACAATTTATAGTCACTGCAGATTTAAGCCTGTTCTAAAGAAAAATACTGCCTGCTACCGTGGTTTGAGGAGGAACAGTTTAGGAAGTACAATGTCCAGTTCCCGTTACAGCTACAGTCTAAAGTCAAAAGACATGTAACCTGCAATCTTAAAAAGATTCTGTGCTTGCTTTGTGGAGCCCCCGCTGAAAGGCTCCCATCAAAGCTCCAGGGCTCTGTAAGAACACTGAGTATTTTGCATGGCTTGTGTTTTGCTTACAAGTTGTATTTTTAAAAGCCTAACCTGTTGTTCAGGCCTTCTTTAATTGTATTGCATCACTTTATTAAAAAACTCCATCATCATCTAAGAAAGACAAGATTTTTTTAACGTTAATGTTTATTTTAAAGTTAGAATACTTGATGTCCATTGACCTTCCAATTTCTTTCAAATTTAACGACCTTAAACTGAAATGACACATACTAAGGAGCAAGTTTACACAGACATATCTAAAATAAAAAGTGAGTTTCTGTAGAGCAGAAGTCCACCCCATCCCTCGGCTCCCCCCACACCTCCCCCCACGCCGAGCCAGGAACCGGTGCATCAGCATCTGCCCGACCCCCAGCAAAGCAAAAGCAAAACGCCGTCCCACGGTCCCAAAACTGCCGCCCCGAGGGCAGAGTGGGGCCCAAGGGGAGGCAGCAGGCAGACAGCCCCACGTCCCGCCGGCCCCACATCCCGCCGCCTGGCCCCACATCCCGCCGGCCCCACATCCCATCACCTGGCCCCACGTCCCCCCACCCAGCCCCACATCCCCCCCTGGCCCCACGAGCCCACGCAGGGCTCCGGCACTTCGTGTCCCATCTCAAAGTTCGAGGGCCCAGAGAGCTGTGAACAAAACACATCAGCACACCAATCCGGTTACCTTAAGGCAGTATGAACGACAGGTGAGAACTCGGCATTTTATTAAGCACCCAGATACACTGAAATCTGGGAGAAACTAAGAAGTACTTCTCAGCGTTAAGGCTTCTGCACGGCTTTAAGCTTCACAGCGCTGCAGCTCTAGCTCCTCTTCCGCTTGCTATAGGGAAGCAGTTGATTGTTCTCTGGCATCTGGGGCCAACGCAACTTCCTTTTGTTAACTCTCAGACCCAGAAAATTGCTGCTGGGGGAAAAAAAAGAAAAAAAAAAAAAAAAAAGGAAAAGTGTTTTGAAGATGCTCTGAACAGAGTAAATCGTAGAGGCTGTACTAAAGCGCTGTGAGCGGTGCGTGGGCGCACACGCACGCAGGTGTCACGGGGAGGGGGGGGAGCAGGAACGCGGCTCTGGCTTCGTGTTCGAAGACGAGAGCACCCCGAAGCCAGCCCCGCCGGCCGCCCCAGTGCCTCCCCTCCCGTCCCCAGGGAGCGGCTGCAACCCTGACCACGGCTCGGCCAAACGGGGGAAGAGCCCCCGGCGCCGATGGAACCGTGACCACGTCCTGCCAGGAAAGGCTGGCTCGAAGCAGTCGTGCCCAGGGGCACAGCCCCCGAGGAGAAGGCCGCGTGGTTTTGGTCACGGTTACCCAAGAAGGAAACAGGCTCGCTTTGCCAGAGGCTCCTCTCGTTTACGGACAAAGAATTTTCCAGTGGAAACTCAAAGAAGTGTTTTCTTTTTAGTCACAGAGTTAATTTTAAATAAAAAAACCTGTTAGGCCAGCCATATTTAAATCAAGCAGCTAATAACCATCATCCAGCCTTGGAGCTTAAAATTCCACATAGCGTTGACATGAAAGATACCGCCCATCCATCAATAGCTATTACTAATTAAACATTCCTTATAAATGAACTCTGGGTTTTTCTACCATTTGCTAGGATGAATCCATCCTGCGGGCACTTGGCTTAAACTGGGACTTCACAAGTGAAAATAACAGCGGAAAACTCTCAAATGCCAAAGTCCATGTCTCTGTTGACTGCCCCGAGATATATACCCGGGGAGATTAAGAGGAACAAGTCGTACTTCAGAGCTGGGCTGAGCACCGCGCTGGAAGCAGAGCTCCCGCGCCCGAGAGCACGGAGCACGGCCAGGAAGGTCAGCGCAAGTCCCAGCACGGTCAGATTTAGCCTGGAGCCCTGGGACGGCCGTGCCATCAGCGCACGTGCCTGCAGCCCTCCCACGCTGCAAACCTCCCACGGGTGGTTTCTGGGGCCTTTCCCTCCCGGCTGTACCCTCCGCTCCCCGAGTTCCAGCCCCTGCACTCGGCCACTGGAATGGCATCACTCCCTTCCAATCTAGAAGCAGCTAAGGTTTGAAAAGTTAGTGGAAGCAGGTATTAACAGAGCCCCTTTCTGCACGTCACCCTTCTTGCTGCTGCAGTTCGCAGCGCTGCGTTATTTAGGTTCAACGCGAACGCTGAGGCTGTTCAGTGAAACCTCCAAGCACGGTAACGCACAGCCAAAGGCAGCCCCACGCCGAACGGGAACGCACAGAAGCTAACTGCTGACGGGATTCATGAACAGCCACATGGGTCTTTTAAGAGTGCCATGACACAAATTATTTTTTGCCGTTAGATTAAGCTCTAAAGCAGCTATTTTCAACCAAACCCGAAGGAGCTATTGCACTTTGTATCCATCATACCCAGCTCCCTCCCGCACACGGGCTGTATCTTCCCTTCCAGGTCGAGGAGATTTGCCTATCTGCCTCCAGCTCTGCAGCTGTGCGACTGAACGAGGGCTAATTAATTAACCTCGGCAGTCAGGTCATTAAGAGCCACGGAGGAGCGGCACTGGAGCAGCACGCTCCGTGGGGACAGGAGAAACCATGGAAGTGACACACAAGCCCTTCTCCAGAGCATGTGGCTTTGGCCACTGATAAATGAAGGGTGGACAACCTGCACTAGCAATTAACAATCCCCTGTTAATCACCTTTGCTCTTCCCATCCCGGGGCGTTTTGCTAGCTCCTTACAGCCTCCGAGCCAGCCCGAGCCGCTCCCACCACCCACGGCTCCAGCACGAACCCCTGAACTAAATTAGCTCCTAATGGTCTGCAGAGCACGTCCCCATGCCCGGCAAAACAATGCAAGGCTTCTTCCCCAAAACTAACTGCATTAAGTAAAGCTAAAACACATTAAGCTCTTAATGTTTTTTTTTCCCCTAAAATTAATTGCTGCACTTGCCCGCAGACCTATAAAGAGCAGAAACAGATACGCAGGCAGGGCTGTGAAAAAGGGGGATGGCTTACCAACTTTGGTTTATTTATTTGTGATCCTGTCAGATACAACCGGCCCACAGGTACAGTCTGGGAAGAATTGCATTGCTTACTAATGAACCGCTGAGGTCCAGCTTGAGATATCCTGTCTGCGGGTTGACAGCAAACTGCTAAGAAGTAATCCCCGAGATTCAGTAAATGATTTCAAAGATGATTATACAGTTAATACAGAGAAACCTGCCGGGGCTCATCTAGTGTGCTGAACTTGACGACCTATTTAAATCCAGGGAATATTATCTCTAAGCATCTCCAAATGCCCTCGTAGCTTACGATGGCAAAGTAAACCCTCTGTGGCAGCCTCCATCTCATACCAAATATCCCACTGACACAACTGTATTTGAGTTTAAAGTGCCTGAGGACGACTCACTTTTATTTTTACTTCCATAAATACTTCTACGACCCTGCCTCTGTTTATAGGTATTTCATACACTTTATAGATGACCTGACCACTTTCTACTGTCCTTTTGCTGTATCCAGATTTTGTTCTACAACGAAATATCTCACATTTTCTGTTTTGCTGAATTTAAGATAGGGCTCAAACATCAGAAAACAGTAACACCAAATGAAATGAGGAATTAATTATTTTCCATGCAAATAAAAAAATTTTAAGAAGACAACTGAAAACATGGGGAAGTTAATTACAACTTTTGGTCATCTAAGCCATGTAGTAAGTGACTGCTAAGCCAGAGAAGACACTGGTCGCAAAAATATATTTCAAGAAGTAACTGATTAAAATCAGTCTAAAGACCCGCCCTGCGAACACTATGCCCTTTGTCTTAGCTGGGACTGCCCACACGATTTATAGCTGCTTATGTAAGTTCGCAGCGTGTTTAGATCAGACGTTTGTGTGATACTGGAGCCCGGGGCCCAAAGAGCAGCAGAGGTGCAGCACCCCCGGGGCCCGCTCGAGCACCCCGGAGCCACGGCGCTCCAGCCAGGCGCCACCGGGGCACCCCGGTGGCACTGCCACCTGCATCTCATCACAGCCTTCACACTGACCCAGCCTCTCGGAAAGAAATAAATAACTAATTCTTGGTCAGTAACATTCTGAATCAGCCAGCGAGAGACAGCCTGTGCCCAGTACCAGCACCGGTGACTTCAGAGGAGTCTAAAACCAGCTTGTGCCTCAAATCCCAAGACAGAATTTGCAGAAAAAACCAACCGGTGACCTATCTGAGAAAACACACACCAGCACAGGAATCACTCCACCAAAACTCCAGTGAAGTGTGACACTTCACTGGAGAGAAAGGTAATAATGTCAAAAAAATGCCGGTTAATGAGCTTCCACTTTATCGTGGGGAACTTGTGGAGGATGCAAGGTACTCAAACGGCTGGCAAGGGGAAACAGAACCGCCAGGCAGGGGGGATGGGACACAGAGGGGCACAAACCAGACCAAAACTTTTGTTTTTCACAGAACGTCCCCCAGGAGGGTCAGCTATAGCAAGGCCTCAGGTGGAACAGTATGAATACGGCACACTGTTCTTCCCCCCATCATTCCCTTCCCCAAAGGAGGCTAGAAAAGAAAAACACCGAGAGGGATTAGAGGCGTAGGGAACATGACTTGTACGGGAAGGGTACAGAAACTGCTTTTGTTTCCTCTGGAAAAGATAAGACCAAGGAGAAACGGTAATAGTCTTCCAAGGTGTAAAATTTCCACTTCTTACCTGGCTTGTACATGTCACTCACTCTGAAGCAAAGAAATAACCACCCTTTTAATGATGGCAGCAGTTAAGCACATTAACACCAGGAGACTGTGGATTCCTCACCACGGGACATCTACATCAACCCATTAACTAACGGCCCAGCAGCCCTTTTCCCACCACTGCATGTACGGGATTTATGAAGACACCAGACAAATGACTGGAAGCCTAGGAATTTAGCAAAACCCATCTGAGTTCCTAAACACCATCTGGTATTATTTTTACTATAGTTACAAGGAACACAAATGACAGCACCTGCAAAGCTTTAGAGAGGAAAATATTTTCTTATTCATCCGACAGCTCTGTGGGTTTGTCTTGACCTGAACTTAAGCATGCTGGATGTCAGCTAACACCTTCAGACAAGAACACACATATCCTCAAACTCTGGGAAAAAACAAGAAGTATTGCCAATCCCAACTACTTTAGAGAGCATAATATAGACCCCAGAATGACACAGAAAATTAATTTTATCTTTGTCTTCTAAAACCAATCTCCAGCTAGTTTCCTCTGTACATTCTCCACCCCAGAAGTGCAGAACAATGGTTGCACACTGCGGACACGTACTCATCTCACTGGCACAGCTCCCTTCTTTGGCAGGCAGCCTCCTCCACTGCTCCCCTGGAGCAGAGGGCCCTTCCCAGGGAGCACCAATTTTTTGAATCCTGTGACTTGACTCACTGTCCTGAAGTGTAAAGGGCACAAAAAAAAAAAAAAAAAAAAAAAATCTCTTTTGATTACAAAATACACAATCGCCTTCACAAAAATACAATTCAGAGATTTGTGTTTCTTCCCAACACATCACGAAGCAGACTGATACTGTCATCTGCTGACACAAGAATGGGTTAAACAAGCGGTTGCTGCCCGGAGGTTTTGTTTAACGCAGCAATTTCTCGCTGAAATTAACATTTCACAGGTAATTCATAATTACACAATGAGGTGGCTACCAAGGACTTTGGCTGACCCCTGATCTCGTGATCCCTGACCCCTGTTTATCAGGGTCACGCACAAATCTTGTAGCAGATCTAGAAATACCTGTGAAAGGCAGTTGTGGCTGCTCACCCTTTGATACATGGCAGCAGCACCAGGTCATCATCACCGGGGGGACAGAGACCAGAATCCGCGATACCTACAGCCAAGTATTTCTGCCTTTACTGCCCGTCTCAAGGAGCCACTTGCAGGTGCTACAAAACAAAGCGTGCTTTTGGGGGTCCTCCCCGTAAAGCCCGCTCGCCTTCCCGTCGGGACGCCTCCCTCTGCATGACAGCCTGTATGGCTACTTTCTGTTTTTCCAGTGGCGCGCTCCACCACTGGCCTGTGCCACCACTGTAACCAAGGCCTTGGCACTGCTTCCATTAAAGCTCCTTAAAATCCATTAGGTTACCTAAACGCGCGTTTTAAGAGTCCCAAATGTTACATCTGTCAGTAATCGTGTATTTTAAGAGCCATCACAACCCATTGACCACATACGTATGTAATGGATAATAGAGAACATTGTGTCATAAATGCTCTTTAAAAAGCAGACTATGAGAATTAAATGCAGTATGGTTCCCATCACGCCCCTAAAATCAACTACCAAAGTGCACGTGATGTTTGGAGAGAGATCCCAGACCGAGCCAGTTTCAGCTCCAGGGGTGAACTGTTCTACTCTTGCAGGCTCCACCAGTCTTCATTCCTGTTTCTTTGTATAACCACAGAGCTTTTCCTTTGATTTGACACTAAACTATTCCAAATTTCACTATAACTGCACACCTTCAGCACCCAAATTTCCCGTATTTCCTCTGCATCTTCATGTATCTAAATTGGGTACTTCAGGAATCCTTGGATGGTTTCTTAGTACTTCTTTGTACAACACCTTGCACAGACAGACCCAAATTCTAAATTTTACCACTATATAATAGATGGGGATTTTTGGTTTTAAGAAATAAGATATTCAGATTTTAAAAACAAGAAAGTGCTGTTCTCTCTTCTTGTTTACTTTGAACAGAAGTAAATCAAAACAGATGCTGCAATTCCAGCATGTTCAACTTGACAGGGAGGTAGGTGAGACTGACAACAATGTAACTTTAAATGCAACAGATCAGATTCTTTTAGTTTTCCATAAAAATTAGTTCCCTCCGTTTTTTTTTTTTTCTTTTTAAAAAATAAATATTCATAATCAAGCATACCTTAGAAAAATTATTTTCAACTAGTCATCTGTGGATCCCTGGAGCACCAAGGCACTATTTTCCAGGGATCCAAAAACACTGACCAAATTGTGTCCCCCACAACTGTGGAGATTCTCTAAAAGTTTGACTTTTCAGAGGCATCTGCAGAAGACGTGTAGGGATTCCACAGACTGGAAACTACTGATCTGTATCAGTCGCAAGGACTTTACCACTCATATATTCTACTTACTTGGCCGAGGGTGCTGGGCATGTCTCGAGCTCTTGCAGTTCTCTCAGAATGTCTGAACTGGAGCTGAAGGGAAAAACAAAAGCAGATGTCAATTAGTTTAGCAACACCTCCCGCACAGCGGGGCTCTACCTAGCGAAGGCAGTACAGTCCGGAGAGGAGACGGACCTGCCCACGCAGCGCTGGCAAGGAGAACTCATTTCAACCAACAGCACAGTCCCGAAAGTGCTGTCTCTGCATCACAGAATCATCAGACTTATTACTGGATCTTATTCTCATTATTTAACATACAAGTCAATTCTCTCTGTTCATGTCTGCTTTCTGGTAACTGCAATAGCTTTATATTCACAGGCACCAGACAATTCCTCTGGAAAGGACTTGCAAGATACTTTGGTGGGTAAAGTACATTTCAAAGAGTAAAGGCACTTACTTCAAAACGCGAGGCTTAGGCGTCAGCTTACATTTTGACCGTAACAAAAAAAAAAAAAAAAAAAAAAAGACTCAACATCAAAGAAAAATCTTCACGTTGAAATTGTTAGCGACACAAATGCAAACTGCCAAGACCGCCGGCGCAGCCAGACCAAAGGCAGGGGAAGGTGCTGTGCCAGCCAGCACGGGGGCCGCGGCTCGCGGGGCTGCGCGAGGTTCCCCGTGCCGGCCCCCAGCGCCCGCCCGCCCCCGAGGGAGGATGGTCTGGCTCCGTGGTCTGATCGCGCATTCTGAGAAGAATACGACTGACCGCTGAAAGACATGTTTCATAAAGCTATTTATTTCTTAATTAAAATAATTCCTTTAAAGCTTTAATGGATGCTGTTCTTAAAGGAAAAAAAAAAAAGCATCTCAGTGCCTTGGATACTGCAAATCGAGGTGAATGGGGATTGAATCGAGCTAGATGCGTCATAACTTTTTTTTTTTAAAAAAAAAAAAAAAAACAACCTGCTTGAAAAGATGTAGTTTTTCATCTTCACACAAATTCACATTCTAACATGACAAGGAAAATACTTCTTTTCTAAGTCAGTATTTATACATTTGCAATACAGAACACAATAGGTCAAACTCGGTACCAGTGCTGGATGGGGGAGAAGCTTCAATGTAAAGCATTTAAGATGGTAGCTCAAAATAAATAAACAAACAAATTAATAAGAACCACCCTACATCACGAGTTTTATGGCAAGAGGCTACCAACCTGGCTAACAATGCAACCAAGCAACTCCTGTCGAGCTGTTGCAGTAGTAGAACCCACAATGTCATCCCAGGCTGCTTTTCTAAGAACCACACCAACGCATAAAGTCTTTATGCTTACTGTGCTCCTTTTGAACACTTATGCCTATATAAAATTTAAATGTATGTTTTAGCCTTTTCTAGCAGCGAGGAGTTCTACGATGCTCCCTGGGCTAGGGGCCAAGCGCCCAGCTGCACAGCTGGAGGCTCCCATCGCAGGAACCCGGGGTCACGTCGAGGCGCTACCGTGACGCGGCTGAGCCCCAGCCCTGCCCGCAGCCACGACGCAGCAGAACTTTGCCCCCTACATCTGCACGTGTTTTACAGCACTCACAGAGGCCACTTAAATCGGCGTGTTATCAAATCCAGCTATCACTACTGCATCAACTTCGGAAGAACCCACGTGTGTGCAGATACATGCACGTGGGTACAAACACACACACGTGTTTAGTGAACTACAAGTATGAGCTCAGTGACACCAGTCAGACCCCTTCACGTGCTCAAAGTCTAACAAAAAAAAAAAAAAAAAAAACAAAAAACCAAGACAACAATAAACCCAAACAACTCCACAGATGATTTCAGCCTGTATTTTAAATCAGAGAATTTTGCCAAATTTCAATAAAATCTGAATTAAGTGAACAAAATACCCTGGTCAATTATTGATAAATAACTTTCATCGCACGTTCAGACTCCGTGATATAAACTACTGCAAAATTCTCAAGTATATGCCAAATTGCAGGGTCGCAGAAATCAACTAACAAGTTGGAAAATGTTTTCTGGAACCTATGTTTCAAAAAGATGCCTGTCAGCTCAAACCCTCTGCATGTTATTGCAGAAATTACATAACAAACTGTGTTACACAAATAGTTGGGAGATTTTAGTGTAAACCACGGGACAGCACTTGGATACCAGTTCTCTTGGATTTACTTTAAAGGCTTTACAACAAAATTAATCCCCTGTTTGTTAGAAGATAGCAGACAAAAATTGTAAAGATACAACCCCCCGGCCATAACTTTATATATACATAGACACTGGTGTGTTTATATGTTTGTTCAAAACACGTAGTAAGGAAAACAGCCCGAAGATACTCATTCTCACAGGACAGACTCCAGCGTGGCAAAGCAGAGTCCTGATAACATGGACAACTGCTGAAGTTCACAAATGGTATTTCTGCCAAAAAAAAAAAAAAAAAATCATTTTAAACAACGTGTCTCATACTAGAGAGGCTGTGTTTGCACAGAAGCCCCACGGAGTGATTTTTTCAAAGGCAGAGCCTGGGCCGGGGGAAGGGGAGAGCCGCTGGCCGCCCGGCCCCGCTTGCACCGTTTCAGCATCGTTTGTGCCCGACGGGGACCGCTCCGTGCAGACCTACGGCGGACTGCACTCCTCCCCCAGGACTGCGGCCGAACGGCCCGGCACGTCCTCTGCTCGAGAGTTACAAATTAAAAAGCAAGGACAGCTCTATGCACAACTTCCACACCCCGGCTGCAGGAGTCTAACATCTCAGCTTATTACCTGGCTCACAGATTTTTGAGAACAGAAGTTCAGCAAAACACTTAATATTACACAAATATTAACGCTACTGTGGCGATAACTACAGAAACAGCAACGGGATTTCAAGGGAGAAAAACACCACCAGAATGCCTTAGAGAAACCTTTAATGCGTGCATATTTGGTCATAAAAAAGATACCAAAAAACATCCACAAAGCACTGGTGCCACATGGAGAAAATTATTTTGAAACAAAATGGATTTAATGGGTCAGTGTGGCTTCCTCGAAGCACGAGCCAAGCAGGGCCGTGGCTTGGTAAGGCAGCTGTCTGCTGGAGCCGTCACAGCTGCCCGCGCTCCCCCGGCACCCAGCTCCCCTCTCCCCAGAGCCTGGGCTCAGGCAGCCGCTTACATTTTTTATTTCGGCAACAAATCTAATACGAAACGTTCAAATGCAAAACATGGTAAGACGTGCTGTAAAAACAATGTTGTATGGAGAAAGCTGTAAAGTCCAGCGTTTTTTTTTTTTTACTGTTAAAACCGTAAGTCCATCAAAAACTCCTTTTTGGTACACCAACGGGATGCCCAAGGAATGAGCTGTTATCATACTTCTAAATCCTACCCCAATGTACCCATTACGTTTTGAAAAAAAAAGGGAGGAGGACAAGAGGCTATTTGTGTGATTTTAGGTCCCCTAAAATAGAAAAAGAGCAGGTTTGATGCCTGAACATGATGTACTTCCTTGCCTTGAAAAATGTAGTGTTATTATCATTTATCACCGTGTTTGTCACAAGCAAAATAATAAAAGTGAAAAAATTTGGCTAACACTCAGGCCAATAATGCAAGTTCCTAATTTGCATGTGTAATCCACAGTCTGTGCCTACCAAATTACTTTAAAACCCAGCACAAAATGTACAAGTGAGCTACCACCTTCGCCTGTGCACGTAGATGTGAATGGGCCAGCAACTCACGAGCAATCAAAGTCCCTCAGCAAACCAAATCAACTTTTATGCTGTAACTGCATTGAGACGGAGGATGTATGTGTAACATAACTATATAAAACCAAGCTGCAGGGTTATGAACTTTCCAGCTGTAGCTAAAAAGCCCTTTGTTTCAGGATTTCTTCAAACAATCCCTTGTTCCGAGCCAGGCACTCAATGAAACAGTTCTCTGCATCTAGTCTCTCTTAAACATCAATTTCTTTTACAAAGACAGGGCAATTGCTTGATTTTGAGTTGAAGTAATTATATACCTTTCTTCCACATGCAGGGGAAAAGAATTGTTTGAAAATTTAAAAAAATCCTTAAATATGCCAGACAGTTGAAAAAAAATAATCAAAAAAACAAAACCAAAAACATTTTCAACTAAGCAATAGAAATTTTGACCACCGACTGGGTGTTTCTTCCCCCCCAAAAAAATCTCCTAAGATCTTCTTGGTATTGAATGATTAGTCCTTACGCTGAAGAAAATTAATTAAATAAAAAAGAAACAGCGACCTCATTGCACATGTTGTTTCTATAAATTTTACCCAAAGAGATCACCAAATTTTGAATAGTTTTGTTAATTTCTTCAGTATTTTCTGTCTTTTCAATACCCCATAGATATCTACCAATATGGAGGAGGCCAGATAAAGCAAAACACATCTTCAGCCTTTATTCAGATTCCAAATCCAAGACAATCTCCCACAAGAGGTTTTCTGTCTTTTTCTTTAATACAAGTCATTATTCTATCCTAAGATTTTACGTATCAGTTCCAGGTGAGTAAAATTTTATGGCAAAACCACTAAAGTTCTGAAATTTCACTGCTCAAGATGCCACAGGCTGACAGACAAGGTGACAGGGTGTAAAGTGTTCTAATTTCCTGGACTCACTCACATTTCCATGTGGAGAAAAGTGCAGCTCCAAGGACTCGAGCAATTCCCCAACTTTGCCTCACTTTTCTGCAGGATTACTTTATTCTGAGCACTTACAGACAATCAACCAAGAGTAAACTACTCCCTTCTAGACCGTCATTTCGATTTGACTTCTACCCTCTCCCCCCCCCTCCCTTTTTTTTTGGTTGTTAAGATAAACACACCACCTTAAAACAGAGAGAAGAAACCTGACATAAGTGTGAGGAACACGTCTCATTCTAAAAATGAAATTTGTTTATTTTAAGGCAGATTAAGTTCCTTCATGGTGAACAGCCAGTGTCCTTTAATCAGTCCATCTTGCTGTGCATTATGTACTTCGCTCTGGCATGTGTATTGTGCATTTTTTTCCCTCAAGGCTGCCATGAGAAATGAGCTCCAGCCCGTCTCATTTTACCAATGTCATTTGAAGGTGAGCGCCCAGTCGCAAGGAGTGAGGGAAAATGGTTTTCTCCACCTTGCAATTCCGCTTCGGCTTCGACGTGCCTGTGATAAACGGTATGAGTTTGGTGATGGAGATGCTGCAAGTCCTGCGTGACATCCAAGATAAATGGTTTCCCACGGGGTCTCCCCTGGCTTCCCAGCACCCCCTCTTCAAACCACGCACCCCTGAGCACGGCTTCATCTTCCTGCCCGTGGAGGGGACCAGGTTCGCCAGCCTTGACCTTCCCGCGGACTCCCCGTGCAGGGCCCTCCTCTCTGCTAAACCTTACACAGGTTCCACTAGTTCACTGTTTTTCTTGGCTCTTTCCAGGCTTTCTGCGGTCCCTTCTGCGGCTCGAGAGCATGCCTTTGAGGCTCTGCCTTTGGGAAATGAAAAGATCTGCTGGATCTATCTAAACTGCTTTCCCTAGGAGCCTGGCAACAGTCGGGCCATCGAGGCTGAAGCACTGGAGAGCTCTGGGGTACTATCGCTTCTGTTTTGGGGGCTCAGAGGTGTGCAAACCCCACGGCTCTTGACTAGGGACTGATGTCTTTCTGGATACATGTCATAGATAATCACGTTTCCCCCCCCCCATCTGAGGTCATCTGCTGCTACCATTTGAAATGACTTCTCCAAGACAGCCTCCATCATGCCTCGCAGTTCGTGGCCATTTGTTAAGGCTCGCCGTTTTTCTAAGGCAGGCATCAATCAACAACACAGCAGAGAAGCATCAGCAGCCTTCCACAACAAACCCGTATTAGAGGCGAAAAATCAAAGGGAAACCACTCCTATCTAACACTGGGCTATATATCATCTCTGAGCCAAAGCAGTCCAAGATTTATTAACTCAAAAATGTACTAGAGAACTGAAACCGGCAGTTATTCCCCCGATCAACACATTTTCACATACTTCTCTCATTTGACAGTGATGGCCAGCCTAGGGACCAGGACAACGCCTTCTTTAAACTCAGGCTGAAGCAACTGCCCGGGAAGAGCTTACACAGCTTTTTCAACCGTTCCATCTTGTCAACAGTCTCTTTGAGAAATTGATGTCTGCTGAGAGGTTTTCAGAGGATTGCTGCCATCCAGTGAACTCCACACTAACTGAAGCATAGCTCCCTATTTCTACCTCTTCTTCCACTGATGAACTAAAGCCCAAATTCTGCAAAGCACACAAATCCAACACTAAGTGACCGGCTAAATCCAGATCTTAGATCCTGGTCAACAGCTCCTAAACTTAATGCCAAAAAGGCCCACTTACTGCAAACGAGGCCCCTTGCGTGGGCATGAATCTCACCTGGCAGACGCTACAGTCGCTCTGTGTATTCCAACAGCAGAGAGATTTATACAAGCTGCAGATACAGCACTTTTCCACCAGGATTTCAAAATTAAGTCACTGGGTTTCAGTGTACACCTCAGTGTCTTTGACAAGGCCAACAATATATACTGTCTGCTGTTGCAAGTCTTTCTAGTCATCAAGAACGGCCATTTCCTTCTAACACAAAACTTTAAACAGAAATAATTTGTTTTAAAAACTGAGTATTATCCCCATTATATAAAATACTTTTAATAGAATATTTCCTCCAGATAGTTCATTAACTGGCTTATCACTGTCCCACCTAGTTTCTTTTCCAGTTTTCCTATTGTTTAAGTAGTTGCATAAAATTTGGCATCTGTCCCAGAAAGTAAAAGAACACAATGGGACTATTATCTGGAGCACTAAAGTTCTATGAAAGCTTTAAGTATGGCTTCATAGCTTTGAAAAATTATCCTTTAAAAGCCATGGCTTTGTTTTGGTGTTTATCTGTTATGCACATTTCACTCTCTTGGTGGGATCATCAATTTATGAAGAGACCAAATATGTTTGGGTCAACGCTATAACCTCTATGCATGACCTGCACCCTTTTTGCAGCAGGTGTAAAATTTTATCAATTGCAAGTACCAACTTTTGAATAATATCAGTACATCAGTGATTACTGTACAATGTATGAATTTCTAATATTAACCAACTGCTTCCTTAGCAAACACTGGTGCGAGATTGACAGAAAACATAAGAATCATTAATTTCTTGCAGCAGGTTTTTACAGAGCAAGCATTTAAATTCTCTGACTTCAAGATTGTTACGTTATATTCTATATGCTGCTCAAAATCCTGATTTTCTTTTGATCCATCATAACATCAGCCCTCCAGTTAGAAGTACTCCCTTTATAAAAACACAGCATGCAGACTTGGACTTCCAAATATATTTCAAGTTTTGACATTTCAATGTGAATTGTCAAAGGATATCCTCTTATTATCAGAAATAAAATACAAGCCTCAGAAAATCATTACTTGGTACAATAGCACAA